AAAAAGTTCCGGTACACATTGAAAAAAAAATGATTTAAATGATAATTATTTTAACAGCTCATTGAAGTCTTCTTGAGATATCGTTCGGAACTCTTTAATTTGCCCAGTTATTCAAGAATTGTGTTTACGACAAGTGTTCCACTTTTGTTCACGAAGAATACCATTAGTCGATTTTCCCAATTCATTTCAGATGAAACAGTTGAAAATACAGGGTGGGCCACCAGTAACGCCTCGGTCTCTAGAAGGCTAACCACTCATCTTCTTGGAATTCTTCCTCTCTAGGAAGTTGCATGTCAACATAGGCTACCATTCAAAATTATTTCGAAACATACAGGGTGTCCCCAAAAACCATAAAACACTGAAGTTGAACTTTTTTCTATCGAACACCCTATATATTATTTCATTTTGAGATTCTCCCTGGTGAGCTGATTTCAACAATCCATCATACTTGGGGTCTAGCAGTTATAATTACTGAAATATAGGGTGTGAAAAATTGAGATTTTCCAAGTTCAAGAATTTTTTGTGTCGAAACTATTCATAATTGGTCAAAACGGCTTACATGTCCCTATCTCAACTTTTCATTAACTATCTACTGATATTTAATTGGGACATATACCGGGTGATCAAGATTCTGAATTCTGCACCAATTATGGATGGTTTAGACACAAAAAATTCTTGAACTTGGAAAATCTCTATTTCTCACACCCTATACCTCAGTAATTATAACTGCTAGACCCCAAGTATGATGGATTGTTGAAATCAGCTCACAAGGGAGAATCTCAAAATGAAATAATATATAGGGTGTTCGATAGAAAAAAGTTTAACTTCAGTGTTTTATGGTTTTTGGGGACACCCTGTATGTTTCGAAATAATTTTAAATGGTAGCCTATGTTGACATGCAACTTCCTAGAGAGGAAGAATTCCAAGAAGATGAGTGGTTAGCCTTCTAGAGACCGAGGCGTTACTGGTGGCCCACCCTGTATAGTGAAACCAAGATAAGGTAATATAGGGATCTCGGGAACAGAAAAAGAAACGGACTCGGTTAAATGGGAAACAAGTTGCGCATTTTGATGATCATACCAACGGCTTTGGAAAATTTTCACAATTGTTTTTAGTTTTTCAGTTATACAGGGTGTTCCTTGAGTACGTGTAGAAAATTCAGGAACATGTTGCTGACGTCAAAATTAGAAGAAAAGTTCGTATAAATATATGTCCGAAAGTAATCCGTTTCTGAGATACAGAGTGTCAAAGCTGAATTCTTATTTTTGATTTTTGTTAATAAATTCCAAAATAATTGTGATAATCGAATGAAGTTTGGTAGTTTGTCTCTTTCGTGGGGGTAGCGCTACCTACATGTCTTTTGAATTTTTGAAAAGTCATAACTTTTCTGTTCGTACCTGTATAACGTTTTATAGTAAGAAAATAGATTTCTAGGACATTTTTGTGTAAAAAGTATATTTTTGGTAGAGGTCGATGCGAGCAACTGTTTTCGAGATATTGGGATTTGAAACAATCGATGCATTTGAATTAATTCCATTGGGCTCGTAAGTCGACTCTAAGCCGTTAGAAAAGATACGTCAGTGCATTTTTCTTCTTTCATTCAATATTCTCCTCCATTCAACAATTCAACATTGGAATGTAGCCAAATGATGATTCTTACTTCTTTGTATCTATTTTTTTGGCCATTTTGACCAATTACTTTGATCAATTCCCTCAACTAACTGATGTTTTAGTATTTATTTGGTCTTTATTACAGTTATAATTATCAGTATTAATAAAAAAAATAATTTTCCTTACCTACTTGATAAACCAATTTCGAATTCCTACTTCTTCGTCATTCCAAATTACTTGCATCGATTATTGAAAATCCCAATAACTCGAAAACTGTTGCTCGCAGAAGTATATGTTTTTTACACGAACGTGTTCTAGAAAACTATTTTCCTACTATAGAACGTGATACAGGTACGCACAAAAAAGTTGTGACTTTTCAAAAGACTCAAAAGATATGTAGGTGCCGCCACCCTCACGAAAGAGATGAACTAACATAAAATTTGATATTGTCATCGAAAAATACCCCGAAATACCAAAATTCATTTGAATATCACAATTATTTTGAAAATTATTAACAAAAAACAAAAATAAGAATTCAACTTTGACACTCTGTATCTCAGAAACGAATAACTTTCGGACATATATTTATACGAACTTTTCTTCTTATTTTGACGTCAGCAACATGCTCCTGGATTTTCTACACGTACTTGAGAAACACCTTGTATAAAGAAAGTGAATTTTTGGAATATCTATTTGTTTTTTACGTTATTATTAGATATATAGAAAACTCTAAAAATACTTTTACATGGCATCTCTTGATGAGATTTAACGTGGTGATATTGATTTCTCCACGCGACGTTTCGTATTCGTAGAGAAATCAACAACTTTTTTTCCAAATACGGCCCTGATTATCTGTTCACAGATTTCGAAAGTTTTTTTTATTCTGAGTTCAACCATGGGGAATTATTAACAATTTTGTGAATTTTCGAAATCCATTGGTATGACCAGGTATGACCCTTGGAATGCGTAATATTTTTCTCATTTAACCGAATTCGTATCTCTTACCGTTTTCGAGATCCCTCGCGAGACCCCTCGCGAGACCCTCATGCTGCGCAACCTCGTGCGCAACCTTATCATGGTCACACTGTTCAACTTTTTTGTTAAGTACCAATATCTATCGAGAAAAAATAGTTGAGAGATTGAAAATGGCAAAGAGGAAAAATTCGAGAGATCAGACGACTAAGTTTATGTAAAAAAACAATTAGAAGAGTAGAAATAATTTACTAGGTATTTGAAATGAACATTCTCAGATATATTTATGAACACAAAAAAATGGATATATATATAAAGAAATACATTGAGAATTCGCATTCTCCATGTGATAAAAATATCAATTCAGAATTACTTTCCACGTCCTGTATGATGAATGTCAATTCATCATAAGTACATTCAAAAATTACTAGGTATTATTTCTCGTGCACAAAACGTCAACCTTCTGTATCTAGGAATCGTCAATAAAATGTCAATCAATGAAAATGATCGATCTATCATTGTACAAAAATATAAGGAAATGAAGCGAAGGTTGAAATAAAGTAAATGATGATATTTCTCCAATACCTACCTGTATTATTGTATACATCTTTGAATAGGAGAATATTGTATTTTTTCAGCTTTTGTGCAAAAAAACTTCAAAATGTTTCTCGGGATGTTTCTCTATGCCACATGTCTGTAGCATTAAAAGTTTTGGCCCCTATATCAAGATTGTTTATGAAACTAACTCTACAGTTTATAGATCGGCTCATAGTAAGTCGCTAAATTTCATACTTATATTTCTGTGAACTCGTTTGTCCGAATTGCAAAGATATACAGGCTGTCCCATATGTATTCACAAAAGAATACTTAATATTCCTCATCAGACCAAAACAATACGAAATATACAAGCAAACTTACTTCAGTACAAAGTTGCTTAGTTTGAGCCTCGGTTAGAGCGCTAGACAAGTAGACAACATGTTTTAAATTACTAGAATTACGAATTTTTTCGAGATCATGAGAGTAATAGAATTTTATCAAGAGTACCTTCTAGATGTTTATTTACTGAAAAAATTGAATTCTACGCCTAGCATGGAATGATATTCATCATAATTTCGATCATTATCATGATATGGGTTTTATTGCTTGATAAAGGTATGTCAACGTAGGTACAAAATTCTCCAGAGCCGTGGTGTGGAATTCCGACTGAAACTGAGAATTCTACACCACCCTGTATTTGTTTAATTTAAATACGAGTGAATAGTAAATCGAAAGTTAAGATATGGACGTGTAAGCCATTTTGACCAATAATGAATAGTTTTGACACAAAACATTCCCAAAAATGAAAAATCTCGTTTTTCCACACCCTATAGCTCGGAAATCATTCCCGCTAGACCCCAAGTGTGCTAGGTCGTTGAATTCAGCTCTTCAAGGAGTATATGAAAATGCAATGAAATACAGGGTGTTCCATTGGAAAAAATTGATATTCGATTTTGTGAGCCTTCCTTGCGCCCCTCGTATAAAATATAGTCATTCCTGAAGATAGCACTCATGATGCGATATGATGTGGAATTATAATATTTTGAAAATTCCTATTGGTGCAGAAGATATTTAACTGTCCCACTGGTCTAGGGACACCCTGTATATCGTGCGGAAAGTGATACTTTCTTGCAGGTGAATGACGTAGACCCGAATGACGCGATGCGGAGTTCGGGCAAGCAGTCGAGTGCGGGAAAGACACTTTCCGCATGAGTTAGGAACAATATTTTTTCTACAATCGTAGGAAATTGATTGATTTGTTCAATCAATTATTCCTGCAAATAAGAACAACTAACATTAGTGATATATTCTCTATTTCCTGATAATTAGTTATATATCTATTGTGTGTACCGTTTGAAGCATTATGTACGTAAGCTTATTGCAGAAGCCAGCATGCCCATCGTGTTTGGCCTCTAGGTTTCAGACATTTCTAGGAAATTTGACAAAAATACTTCTTTTTTATTTGGTTTTTTCACTTTTTTGGTATTGCACCATTCGATAAATCCCGTGTAGTACTTCTCATACCATTCTTAAGACTTTGTTGGTAATAACTAATCTGTATCGCATCTATGGCTGGAAGGAACTAATTTGTGTTTTGATTGATCAGATCAATTGAAGGCTATAGGGTGATTTCGATAATAGCTATCAATTATTATTTTTCAATGTTTCTTCATTTTTACAATAAATAGTGCAATTAGATGGATGATTTTGTACAAACTTACTAAATACTGCAACCAAAATTTTCATATTGTGTCACCCACCACTCATATTTTGCGAGAATATTATATAAATGTTTTTCCCGCACTACTGCGGCAAAATGACACTTCCCAAACTGCGATAGGGTGAATCACGCACGCTTGGAGAAAAATGGAATTTATTACCTCTTGGTACCTTATCTTGGGGCTGATATTCCTTCGCATCTTTAGGCAATTCATACTGAAGCGCTTTGGTGACTTCGCTGTTGATCAGTTTTTCGTAATAATGCACTTCTTCTGGAGTACACAGAGCGCGTGAAAAAATTGCAAGCAGTACAAATAATAACGTTCGCGCAAACATTATAAATTAGGACGCGCTCGACAACTGAGACAGGTACGAAAGGTGTGATTCTTTATTGTTATCTTTTTGTATAAATGTTAATATATGATTGTTTCGTAATTGTATACAAAAGATAATAACTGTTTATCTGGCGGACCAAGTTGTTTCTGTTTTTCGTTGTTTTACTCACTTGCTTATATAGACATCAACAAATTTATTTTTGTAACATTGAATAGTCTATATTAGGTTTTCAGATTATTTCAATTAACTGTTGTAGATCCTAACCCCAAATACAGTTTGTCAATAAATACAGTTGGGTACTACTGAACTCAGTGTCTGTTTTTTTTGTTCATGGATAATACAAATCTCGCTCTGATATCTTGGTAGGTCAAGATAAATTCCAGAGTGCAAATATTGACCACACGGCAAATGCAAAAATTATGGTTGCAAGTAACATAACAAATATCAACTGTGCGACCTTAGATAAAAGGTACCACAAACTTCAAAGAAATAATAGGCTCACCGGAAATGTAGAGCGCGATTTCAGAATATAGTGAACATTGTTTACACATCAGATCTAATGTATTTTCATGATGATAATAGTTGGGTTCAGAAGTTACAGGGGAAATTATAAAAATACACATCTCATACACTTGATCAATGAAAAGTGTGATGACATATTTTTTTCTAAAGTAATTGCTGGATGATTTATGAACGAATAAAAATATAATACCGAAAAAGTTCTCATCAATTGTCGGCTGGGTCATGGACTAAATCGATGACACTTTTGAATGTTATCAAAAGATAATGCTTGATAAAAAAATTCAGTATTGGTCAAGAACTGGGTCAGGAGTAAGGTGCAATAGGTCTTTCAACTTTGCATCTTTGGTTGATGATAGTATATAGTAGAGTGCTTCATCAGATTCATGATATGTGTTTTATTTTCACTTATTTTTTTGATTTTTGTAGGAACCACAACAGCTTTCAGGTAGTCGCCGAAATAATGATCCTTGAATAAACATGAATGTTAATTTCAATAACTAATTATCTACTTAATTTTGTTGGAATAGGACATTTCGCTCGACATTTCGGTACGTATTATCCCGAAAGAAACTATGTTCAATTTTTTAAGTTAACCTTATCGGCACAGAATTTATTACTTTGAAAGGAGAAGGCTTGACCCTGCTATTTCTTGAAACGTTTATCACAAACAATACCTTAATAATTATTGTCAGGTGCCGAACTCCATGCTTTATGTAAATAAAACGTTGCTTGATGAGGCGAACAACATAGAATGAAGTAGAAGAAACCATTGGAACAATAACATTCAATTTGCATCTAATGATGCATAGATAATGCATGAAATATTGAAAATCCACCATTTTACCTCTAGAATTTATTTATTTATTTATTTATTTATTTATTTATTTATTTATTTATTTATTTATTTATTTATTTATTTATTTATTTATTTATTTATTTATTTATTTATTTATTTATTTATTTATTTATTTATTTATTTATTTATTTATTTATTTATTTATTTATTTATTTATTTATTTATTTATTTATTTATTCATTTACTCATTTATTTATTTATTTATTTATTTATTTATTTATTTATTTATTTATTAACGGACAAGCCAATCATACAATTTACAAAAAGAAAGTATAAAAATACAGAGCACGTACATATTATCATATCTATGAAGAAGACTAACACAAAAAAAAAAATGTAGAAGGCTAAAACGAATAGAAAGATGAAGATTATGAAAAAAGTGATTGACAGTTTTTTATCGCTCTCCTGAGAGACAATAAAGATGAATTGAAAAGTTCAATTTGGTAATTGTTTGTGTTTGCTGTTTTCATAATTCTATTCATTGATTCGTTTTGGCCATAATTTGTCCTACAGAATGGTATCTTGAAAATGTCACTATTTCTGTTTCTTCTTGTATTTGCGGAAAGCATAATCAGAGCAACAATTTCAGAAGAATCAATGTAACCATTGATAATTTCATGGAGGAATAATAGATCAATTTTCATTCTTCTATGTATCAACGTATTCATGTTTAAAATATCTAATATTTGTGGATAGGTATATTCATCCCTATTGAATCCCATGTGATATGCACAACTTCTTAAAAATTTATTTTGACAACCCTCTAAAAGATCAGAATCAACCTTGTAAAATGGTGACCAGATCAAAGAATTATATTCAAGAATAGACCTCACCTGTGCACAATAAATAATTTTAACAGCATTAACAGATAGTTCTTTAGCAGAACGGAGGGAGAAGCCTAGCATTTTACGAGCACGAGATGATGTTTCTATTATGTGATGTTTGAAGGTCATTTTCGAGTCGAATATTACTCCTAAGTCTTTGATTGTATTGGTTACTGATAGATTAGTATCATTAACTCTGTAAATATGATCAATAGCATCATGGCTTCGTGAAAATGTTATCTTTTGACATTTATTCAAATTCAGTTTTAATAAATTGATATGGCACCATCTGGAAAAATTATTTAGATCGAGCTGCAAACTCTCAGCATCAGAAATGCATTGAACCGTTTTAAACATCTTCAGGTCATCGGCAAACATCAAGAAGGAACTGTTGATGATGACATCAGAGAGGTCATTAACAAAAAGATTAAATAACAGAGGTCCCATGTGAGATCCCTGTGGTACACCTGATGGTACTTCGATTGGTTGTGAAACTGAGCTCCCATATTTCACATATTGGACTCTACTAGTGAGATAGCTTCTGATCCAACTTAGAATATTCGCCTCTATACCCAAAGCTTCAAGTTTTGCAAGTAACAGACTATGGTTAACTCTATCAAAGGCCTTAGAGAAGTCTGTGTAAATAGAGTCTACTTGCAGCTTATTCTCTAATGAATTGATGATATAGTTTTGATAAAGCAACAGGTTTGTTGATGTTGATCGACCCCGACAGAAACCATGTTGTTGGTTAGATATAATATTTTTAAAATCCCATGATAGTTTTCTAGTGATCAAACAATCCAACATTTTTGGTAACTCTGACTGATTACAAATACCTCTATAATTGCTAACATCCTCCCGTGAACCACTTTTATGAATAGGTTTAACGAAACTGTGTTTCCAGTTGTTAGGTATCTCCCCCTTCTCAAGAGATGAATTGAACAGCAAGTGAATGGGTTTTGCTAAAGTATAAATACATTTTCTTATCAAATACAATGGGATCCCATCTGGGCCAGTTGACAACTTCATAGGTAATGACAGTACCAAATCAATAACTTCTTTGATATCAATAGTATAAGTACAAACGTCTGCAGTGTTATTGAAGTGATAGTGAGGGATTTGATTAATTGTTGTATTGTCGTAAACGGTCGAGAAATAGTCAGAGAACATATTAACTATTTCATCACAATTATCACTACATATATCGTTATATACCATACGAGATGGAAGACTGTGGGACTTTTTCTTATCATTAATGAATTTCCAGAAATGGCGAGGATTAGAAGAAATGTTATTTTCAGTTCTAATAATATAGTTACGATAGCATTCATCTCGTAAGATTTTACACCGTTCCCTGAGAAATTGAAACCGATTATATGCTTCTATATTGCCATTTTCATACTCCTTATGAACAATTTTTTTTTCAAAAATAGTTTGTTTCAATTCACTGTTGAACCATATGGGGAACGCGGACGATTGATACTTTTTCAGAGGAACAAATTCATGAATGGCGCTATATAAAACATCATAGAATTTAGTTGAGATCAGGTTCAAATCATCAACGTTCAAAAACGACATCCAATCGAAGCTAGCAAAGAAATTATTCATAAGGATATAATCACCATTTTTGAAATCATAAAAATATTCCACAATCTTCAATTCAGTAGTTTTCACGGTAATCAAATCAAAACCAATGGCAAAATGATGAATACTGTTTGAAAAAATTGGATCAACTGGATTATCAACAATCAAATCCTGATATGATGAGAATATCAGGTCCAAAAATACATTTCTTGAATTTGGTACGGAATTCACCTGAAATAGGTTATGAAAACTGAATGAATTTAATAGAATATTTGCTGGTGAGTTTTCTGGACAATTGACGCTTACGCCAAGATCATCATTGAACCAAATAGCATCAGGTATGTTATAATCTCCACAAAGTATTAATTTATGATCAGGGAAAGTTTCTACTATATGATCAACCGTATAAGTATGATTGATATAAAGTTCAATATTGGAAGATGGAGGAATATACACTGCACCAATAATTAAGTTTTCTTGACATAGAGAAAGTGTGACAAAAACATGTTCAACATTATTATTCACAATATCTATAGAACTAGCAGAAAAAGAATCTCTAATAGCTATCAGAATACCACCACCACGTTTTTTTAATGAATCTGTTGAGTCTCTATCGAACCTGAAAATATTGAATCCCTTTAAACCTAATTCAGAATTACGAAAGTCTTTGTTCAACCAAGTCTCCACTAATATTACTACATCATAGTTAGAGCACAAAACTGCTTGCTGCAATTCGAGTAATTTGGTACGTAATTCACCGACGTTTTGGTAATAGAAGCAGATATGGCTCTTATTTACTTTTTTTGAATTTGTTTCGTAATGCGTGGAACTCTATTAAAATATCTGATGATCACATTTTCTCTTGATCTTTTCCTCTCTTCCAGTTCTTCTCGTAACTTACGCCATGAGTTAATCTGAAGTCGTGTCATGTCAGCGTTGATAGAAACGGCCGTTCCTCTGAGAGAGTCTTTTTTCGCAGTTATGACCTTATTAGCGTACAAATAATTATTAAAAAATACTTTGACAGCACGGTGACCATTTTTATTTGGTTTACCAATCCTCCAAACTTTTGAAATAGTTAGATCCTCATTAGTTAATTTATGAACAATTTCTTTAACTTTATCCAGATCGGAAGCTAGACCGCGTGGTTCAGGTAAATCAAAAACCATTACATTGTTCTTTCGTTTCTGACGTTCGTGTAGTTGTTTGAATCAATGTCTTGAGCTTCTTTA